ATGTATATGTATATGTATGCTAATGCATATATAATCTATAATGTGCTATAGCCTTAGCTCCCAAGCTAATATTTATGGCAGTGTAGTTAGTTTTCAAGCTAAAACATATATGTGGCAATATGTAGTGTTAGTGCCCAAGCTAATATGTATAAATGGTGATACAGGTAGTTCTCTTGCTGATACATATACTGTACATACTTGGTGAAATAGCATTAACTCTCAAACTAATTACTATTAGCCTGGGAGCTAAYGCCACATATTCATTAGCAGTATATATCATGTTACTAATTACTAATAAATATATGCAGTGTTAGTTCCTGAACGAATATTAGCTTGGGTGCTAATGCAATATGCAAAAGCTAAAAGGCTAAAGCTGAGGTGAGCCTTCCATAATCCATCATTTTCAGTCGCAGGTTGTTTATCAAGTAATGTCAAATGTTACTGCTAGTCGGGGTTTCCTTTAAAAACATGAGTTGGGGTCTTTCCTGTCACTTTCAGGGGGTTTAAAAAGCTGGAGACTGACTCAGAATCAGAACCAAATGTCAGAAGAACATTTTCCTTATGCTCATCTCTCTGCGCTCGTCTCATGTTGGATCTCCCATCGATTTAAATCTTTAAATAGCCAGAAATACAGTATGTGTCAGACTCATTGGGCTGTTTTTTTTTTTTTTTTTGTCCATTCAGAGCCATAGCTGGCACCCTGCTTACTGCTCTCAGATCAATTAGTGACAAAAGGAGATTTGAGGCTCCATTTTATGAAACTCGAGCACATTCAATCATTATCTATTCTCAGCACCAACCTTTATACTTTTCTGTTTGTAAAAGCTTTTGTTTAATGTTGCAAATACAGAGTAATGTCTTAAAAAGCAGGATACAAACAATATTTATTCTTTTTTTATTGTCCAGACAACGTGATGGAATAGCCATGTCCTAAAATAACATTATTTGTGTGAAATATATTCCTCCCTGTTGTCTGGAGAGGATGCTCTGCAGTGCGGAATAAATAAAATGAAAGAACAAAAGCCAGCGACAGTGACAGCCTCCCTCACCCTCGCCGTTGGACTCCATCCGAGACGCCGTGTTGACGGTGTCTCCAAACAGACAGTACCTGGGCATCTTCAGTCCGACCACACCGGCGCACACCGGACCTGGAAAACACAAACGCAGTCGCATTTTTACAATCGTCTCTGCTTCTGCAGCGCCTACACACAGCGGCCCACTTCTGCTGCGTGTCAAGTGTGTGAATAACAACATAAACAGAGCCGTGATGAGCCGGTACGGTCTAAATACTGGGTCAAAAGCCTCTTTTAAATAAATAGTGTCAGATGCTGCAGACAGAGCTCGCTGAAAGTGTTTATGTCTGACCTTTATGTGKTTTTTTTCATGCATTACAAGCTATAATCAAACTAGATTAATTTACCTAAATATTTAGATGAAAGTGTTTCAACAAAAACCTTTCTCCATTAAGGTTCTGATATTCTCAGTTTTTAATCACAGATTGTAAAATTTTATAACGGTATGAAGCATTACTAGTATTATTTAAGAGAGTGCAGCTTTTTAAAAATAAATTTTAGAGAACATGAAGAAGTCTTATATAGCCTATATCATATCTAAAAATACATTAAATAATGATGTCATTTAAGATAACTTAAATTGGAGCCTTCATAAAACTTTATGGAAATCTGACCTCATTTATACAAGTCAGAATTTAACTAGAGATATTTTAACCAGGTATTTTGCCTATTGAGAATATAATTAAAGGTATCTTTAATAACTAACATGTCTAGTCSTAACGTAATTTCCCATATCTGGAATGTAAGTGCGGTGAAGCTAATTTTATGTTAAAATGGCCTACCATATATGTGAGCTTCCACACAAGCAGAAGCTGATTGTTAAATTAGCGGGAGAGACAAAAACTAGTTTTTCCTCTGACTTTGATGTAAAAAAACAACTACAGTTATTAATGCTTCGATCTGTGCAATGTAGCGGGAGGGAGGGAGAAATGATGAGTATTTATCCCCCTCGATACAATGATTCAGTTATTAATCAGAAAATATATGAGAAAATATGGAAACATTTGCTGCTGCCGTTTAAACGCTGAGCTATATTATAAAAATAAAATAAATAATTTAGTTCAGGCAGGGATCGAGACACATCGACTTGTCTGAATTTGCGTTTAACGTTCCCCAGGCAGTCGTATTTGTTGAACCTTGTAATAAATATTTATTCTTTTATAAAAACATTTTTATATTACACGTTATTTACTCAGTTATTTACTCAGTTATTGTCAAATGTTGGTAATTTCTGGTCACGACTACTTTAATCTTGCTGTCATCAAATTAAGACAAAACTTTAAACGAATTATTGAAAGAGAAGATTTTATTTAAGTATCTTGGTTAAAGTTAAGTTATAAATTAGCTTTTCAAACACTGAATGTTGGGGAAAATACGACAAAATGTTATATTTTAAACAAAGACAGTTTGATTAGGACTAAACAGGACAGCTAAATGCTAAACTTGTCATTAATGGKTAAAAAAAAATCCTGAAAAAGTTGTTGAAGTGATACATGAAAAGATGGTGAAAAAAGAAAGTTTAAGTTAAATTTTGACCCTTTGATCCCGTTAAATGAGTCAAATCCATATATTATTTATCCAAAAATGGCCCAGATAGTGTCTCGTTTTATTTATTGTTACGATATTTGATGCTATCTTTCAGGTATAAATGTTGAGGCATCTGAAGCTGGACCGGGAAAAAAAMAACTTTTTTTTCTCATTGAGAATCTAAATTACTCATGTTTTCTAAAATTGAGTATGAAATGCTTTGTGTGCAAAAAGAGATAAAATTATTACATATTTGTTGATGAAATATGAGTCATGATTATTTTCTAGTTCCAAAGAAGAGAAAAAAAAATCATAAATGGTTGAAATGGGGAGAAGCTGCTGCTTGTGAGTGCTGTGAACTCTCTGTGAAACAACAGAAAACTGCCTCTGAAGGAAAACAAAAGACAGGTTTAGCTCCACAAAAAGCACCTTTTCCACCTGTCCAGGTGTGGGCCTCACCTGTGTGTATACCTATCCTGAGTCTCAGCTGGTCGTTGGGTCTGTGTCGGATCTTAAACGTTTTGACCTGCTCTAACAAAGCCAGAGACATCCCCGCGATCTCTCGGGCGTGGAGTTTGCCGTTGCGCACTGGCAGCCCGGACACCACCATGTAGGCGTCACCRATGGTCTCTACCTGCAGGACCAATCGTATCGGGGTCAATAAAAAGAATAAAACTAAAAGCATTTCTTACACACAGTGATAATTAGTCATTTACTTACTTTGTACACATCAAAGTTATCAATTATGGCGTCGAAGCATGTGTACAGATCGTTCAGCAACGTGACCACCTGAAGAGGAAAACAACAGGTTCTGAGTTCATTGTTTTAATTAGGGATGTACTGATATGAAAACTTCAATGACATCAATATCTGATATTATTATTGGTGCTATGGCTGATAACTGATATCTACCGATATTACACAAACACACAATTATTATTATTATACTTGTGTTATTCCTGGCTGCGCAGCGTCACCATCATGATCAAACAGATCCCACTCGACCAACCATTTCCTCTCCCAAAACAAAAAACACAAAGCTAAAAAGTGGGAAATCACTATTGGACATAAATATTGGCCCAGTTTTACTTATCAGACCGATACAAACATACTAATGACCAACATCGGCTGATACAGATGTAACTGCTGACATCGTATAGTTTTAATGCAAAGGTGCAAAACTTGTTTTTTAGCTTCTGTGTCACACAGATCCTGAACCAGAAAACATACAGTATACATAAAATGTTTTACATTTGATACTAATAAAGGAATAGTACAGACACTTATTGCCCAGAAGCAGTCATTGTCTAGCAGTGGTACACAAAGTTGGGGTCGGGACCCACAGTAGGGTCCCGAAACATCAAGGTGGGGTCTTGAAAAGATTTTCAGAATTAAATACATTATAACAAATKTTTTTGCCTTAGTTCTTACAAAAGAGTGAGGTTAGTGTACTTTAAATGGATAAAAGTAGCACAATGAATATTGTTACTGTGCACCTGATACCAGTGTTTATCAACCAGAAAAGTTTGGGAACCACTGGTCTAAAGAGTTAGCAAAATATCTCATGAACCAGAGGACAGCTTATAAAGAAATGAAACTGGTTAACCATATTCAAGATGGCCGCCACAGATAAGCAACGTTACTCGACACAAAGATGGCCGTGTCTCTGTCAGTTTTACAGACACTGAGCTAAAGTTTGTTGTGGTAGTAGCTGAGAGTCATCTCCAACATTAGACCTTCTCAGTCTAAAATCGCCATAAAGCGTCAGGGATGATATGCATTCCTTCAAGGATCGCTAGGCCTTCAGTTTGAGCTGTGGGTATAAACAAAAAATATGTTACCTGTTGTCTTTAGTTCTTTCAATGATCTGCTGGTAAAAACTGATTATTACATTTTTTTACACTGAATTCTGTGGTTATTAACCCAAATGGTGGCAGCAGCTGCTAGCTGTAGCACTTCTGCTGCAACCCAGAATAATCAAATAATTGAGATTTGTTATAAAAAGAATCAATTCACTCAGAATAAATTTAATTTCTCTAAACTGAGCTATCTGCAACAGGTAACATATTAAATGTTAACTTTTCCATAGAACCCCGTTTTGAAAGATCTGATGGGCTTCTTTTTTGTGTAAAAATGTAATAAATATGAGAAGAGGTCTTCCACTTCATGTGACACACAATGCATAAAGTTTAGAGCAGTCAGATAATGTGACTCAGCTCTGCGTCAACATCTTCTCCCATCTAACTACTGTACTATTTTGAGTCCCCGCCTGTGTGTGTGGGATCCATGAGACACACAGGAGGTAGAAACCTGACACCGGAGAGCTCTTTAATGCATTAGCAGAAAGGAGGAATTCAGCGCAGCCCTGATCACGATGCGAGCTCTTTAGAAGCGGAGCCGCTGGAGGACGTTTCTCCRGCAGAGCGGGGAATCACCTGTTTGAGGTTTGAGAAGACGGGCGTACCTGCAGCGGCGTGCTCTCTGCAGACAGCGACGTGAATCCCACGATGTCGCTGAAGTAAATGGTGACGCTGTCGAAGGCCTCTGCCTGCACTGTTTCGCCTCTTTTTAGCTGCTCTGCTACTGAGCTGCAAGAGAAACAGAGAAACTGAGGGAACAAGTCAAAGAACCGATGTTTATCCAGCTGATAATTTAGAATTAGCTAAAAACTAGATTTGGCTAAATCCCCAGATTTGGGTTGATGTCTGCTGACGGTAATTTTCTTTTAATCAAATGGAACGAAAAGAAAGAAAAATGTAGCAGAGGTCAGTTTGTTTAAGTCACAGCTGCGGTGAGAAATCAAATTTGCTGTTTCTCCCAGGCCCTTTTCTGTCTGCCTGACTTCGACGTGGGGTAAAAAAAAAGCCTGGATTTGCGGCTGTGGTTTTATCGCCACCGTTCTGCTGCCTCCACTTAATGAGCAGCGTGCCTTTCCGCTTTCTCCGCTCCCTTCTTATCTACGGTGGGATCACGCCGCGGGGAGATGTGTTTCTGTTAATAATGTTCTGTGCTGGAAGAGCCTTTAATTAATGCAGAGGTTCAGACCGGCTGACAACGTGTCGCTGCAACACGCTGCCAATTCACCCACTTTGCCGGTGAGTTAATTGGTGGGTTTTTTCTTACTGTGGTAGGATCTGATAGAGGAGGTTTTCAGCTTTCCGCTTCTCCTCCAGGTAGGCTTGTGTTCTCTCCTCCACCAGGTTCTCCAGGTTGTTGGCGTATTGTTCCATCCTGGACAGGAGGTTGTTCAGAATACTAGTGCTGCCYTCCCTGCGAAACAAACAAGCACAACACAATTCTGATTTAGACCTGTTGCCTTGGTCTAAAACGAACAAAACCGAGGTTAAAAGTTGATTTATGAGAAAAGTTTTCAAGCACAAAACATTTCTAACCCAAACTATGAAGTTTTTTATTCCTAACTCTGTTTATGAGAGAGAGAGCAAAGTAGAAAGGTAAAAACCCGTCTCAGAAAAGTTTTGAATTAGGAACCACTTGTGCAGCTGTAATCCCTTTTCCTACTTCCTCTTTAAAAAGCATTTTTGGCCGAGACGACAGAGCCGTAGCTCCTGGTTATCATGAAGCCAGACACGGCTGCCAGATGTAGCAAGAGTCAAGTGTCAACGAGAAGTATCCGACTGCAGGCACCTCTCAAACCCTGCTCCGCTGCAGGCATATACAGAAATATTAACGTGCACACGGTTCAGACACATGCAAAACAATACCAGGCTCAAAATACACAAATAATAAGTATCATTACAACAAAAAACTGCAAAAAATTAGACTTTGTGGTTTTATTTGCATACTTCTGGTGTTAACAGGACTACATCTGGTTTGTGACCTGTAGCTGTTTATAATCAAAGCTACAAGTTAGAGACATCCATCCATCCACCCATCCATCCATCCAACCAACCAACCATCCATCCATCCTTTGATCCATCCATCCAACCAACCAACCATCCATCCATCCTTTGATCCATCCATCCAACCAACCAACCATCCAACCAACCATCCATCCTTTGATCCATCCATCCAACCAACCAACCATCCATCCATCCTTTGATCCATCCATCCA